TCTGACCATAAAAGTTTTTGCTGATAACAAATTGGACAATACAGTTCACATTCACGTCACTGCAATACCCGGTTTCAGTAACTATGCAATAGCCAACGGGCAAAATAGTTGCAATAATTATATAATTATCTATGCAGTAAACGTCGACATATTCGAACCCTGCAAATCACCGGAAGTATGGTTAATGACACTTGAATCCACTCAAATTACAAAGGGGCTAAAAAACTAAAAACCTTAAAAATATACGTCTGTAGCACTTTACAAATAAATTGGGTATTAAAAGTGATTAGAATTGTATATGACTGCTTACGTAGACCGGATAGGCTCCTTGTTCCGTCTCCCAGGATGTACACCACGCCAACATCAGATATCAAAAGTCAATAACAGTCAAGAGACGTTTTTGTGCTTCTCCCAGGTTCTCTACAGGCAACGGTAAATGTCACAAATAATGACAAAGTTGCTGTGATTATTAGCAATATTTGAATTATAGTACAAACTAAGAATCACAGAAATAACGAAATTGGATCGAGAAATACAGATAAGCACGAACGAATGAACGGTATTTAGAATTTTAAGTTAAGCATTCAACAAGCACAAAAGAATCATTAGTTCATACAAACACCACAATTACAGGATCTATCCCTCCTCGAAAAATAATCCATACCTTGACCGATCCCATCTGTACTCATGAAACCTTTACCTATGATCAGTTCTTTAACCTACTTCTTCATGACATCTATAGCGACCAAACAACCAATAGTTAGTTGGAACAACGGACTGACGAACCCAAAATTTATTCGATTAGACGAGACCACGTTCCTCTGCATAGCTCACAACGCGTTTTTGAGATACTCGTATTATGTTATATCAAAACACAAACTCTGTGCTCAATATAAACGGTTCTAATCTAGAAAACAGAACAAATTACATCAAAAATACAAAATACCTCAAACGTGACAGCCTGTGCTATACAGTCAGAAGTTTCTCTAACGCAAAGTAGCACACTAAACAATAAAAGAAACAGTTAATATCAAAGGGTTCGATACCTGAGAATCAATACAAATATTCCCAACAAGATGGGATCAAATATCTATCTGTGGGGATTCCAGCAATCCTCCAAAGCAGACAGTCAGAACGTTAACAGTCACACACCGAACCACGCTGTGACCTTGAGCTTGGTCAAACACAACCTTACTGTCAATAGTCCGGCAACATGCAATAGAAAATTAGGTAACAAAGGATAAGTCTATAATCAGAATCACATAATAAAGGCTCAAACGAGGAAGACTGAAGAACAAAAGATGTGGTTAATCGGGATCTGAACAAATGTTAAAATACACAACAGGAAGAAGAAACAAATAAATGACAATACTGTTCAACAAAGAAGCTGCAGAGGGATTTTCATCGTTCTCTTTCCGTTACAATACCTCTCAGTTTCTTATTCTTTCATTCAATGCCTGCTCTCTATCCAAAAAATCTAGTTATTTTAAAACCTTTTTACTACTTTTAAATCCAAGCATTGTGCTTACTACGGAAACATGGTGCAAATCATTCATATCTGAGCACTCCTTTACCGTAGATAACTACGTTTTCTTTCGACCCGGTCGATATTATGGAATAAAAAGCGGTAGAATTATCTATAACCGTTCAAAAATTCGGGCGTGTAAATTTAAGTATGTGTGTCTCTATGATATAGAGTACACTATTTGGGTTGCTGTAAATTGTGGATCACATAATTGTCTACTGTTTAAATGTATATACAGACCACTCCGTTCTGATACTGACTTTGACAAATTGTTAACAAACATGTTTTTCATTACTTCTCACCAAATCATCGGAGCTGATTTTAATCTGCTTTACATTACATGGAACTGGACTTCAGTATCAGGTCAAATTTTGTGAATGGGTTCAACAAGTACAAAAACCGACTAGGAGGAATAATATACTTGATTTAACATTTATAATCAACACTGACTCTATCTCAATGCACATCAGTCATGAATTTTTAATGAGCAACCGCAGAGCTGTATTGAGTATTATTCATTCTTTAAACACTATACCATCGAACTCTGAGTCTCCATCAATCTATCAGAGCAGGCAGTTTGACCAACAAACCTGGAAGCATATTGGAACACTTATTTCCTTACAAATAACGTTGACACTGAGTTTCCAACTTATACCTCAATCCAACTTATCGCCTTTTCCACAGTACTCCAATTATCGACCATATGACTTGTAATGCTAACAGGGACGAAAATACTTTTAAATTTTTTAAGAGAAAGCTGAGAAAACTGAATCACCGCTACCACAAGTACCGTAACGCATGTTCACTTCAGAGCATACTTGATTGACGTAGATGATTCATCTCAACGTAAGTATCTTATGATTATGTAGAATAAAAGTAAATGCTCAGAATTATTTATAATTCGGCTTTGCAAATCTCACATGAAATCAGATTTTCCTAATACAGTCAGACACATCTTAGTTAACGGTAGAATTATAGACGACCCCGATACTGTTTGTCAACAATTCAGCTGCCATTACTCGCGATACTACAACACAAAAACCAAAGCATTTATCAACAGGCTTCAAATGTTGACACCTAATCATTTATCCACAATTGGTTTCACACCCACCAACATTAAATCAGTCTATAACTACCCTGAAGAAAGTTCTATGACTGTGAAACGGATGGGATTCGTGAATCGTTCGTGAGGTACTGTAATAGATAATTCCCATTATTTCGATTGAAACTATCCAATCTATTTATAAACTATGAGGCCTATTCATATGTATAGAAAACATCGCTTATCATCCCTAGATTCAAAACGGGATCAAGTAGTGATATTACTAACTATAGGCTCATTAACGTGACATAAGTGCTATCATGAATCATGAAAAAAAATCATTTAACCCTTTCTTGATTTGGCATACGGAATCCTTTTTTATCCTGGTCCAAATATTTTTTAGCAGAAGATAGCCAAGTCGTTCGCTTTGAATCTTGATAGTCTAAGCCTACGAATGTAACCAGTAGGGTTACACGGGGAAGTGTGATTGGTCCATTAATCTGTCTCCTTTTCATCAATGACACGTGGTAGATCTTTCCTTTCTGATCTAAAAGAAGTTTATTAGTTCTTGTTTCTTACCAAAGAAAACTATATTTCAACGGCAATCCTAGAGGACATAAACAAGTTATATATATATATATATATATATATATATATATATATATATATATATATATATATATATATGGTATAAAACAGATTTCCAGTCTTTCATATCCATACATATGTAAAGTGGCAAAAAGAATACCAGTTATATGAAGATATGATAACTGTGAAGGTAGATGTTGGTCGGCAGTCGATCTTGTAAAGTAACAGTCTGAGCAGAGGATTTATTTCATATATATTAGTCTTTTCAGAAGGTATCTACAAATGTTTCACAAAATCCCTGGAGCTTAATACAACCCGTATTAGTCTTGGTCTATTATTGTGCTTGAAAAACTTTTAAAAAAAACACAGATGCTCTTTCTTAAGCTAGTTAAATAAGTACCTAAATTATTATTATTAATACTTTTATTGCATTGTTTACAGCATATCAAACATTTAACTAATTCAGTTAATTTGTGAGTTAGCATTAAAGATAATGATCACACAAATAGAAGTATATAAAATTAAAATTAAAACATTTAAAAGTGATAATTAGAAAATGACAAATCGTTGTAATAAGAGCAGTTAAGATAATACAAAATGATAAACAATTATCTCAACATTCAAAGTAGAACAAACGTTAGATTATTATGTAAAATTTATACAGTTGACTGAGGTATAGATGGATATATATCAATAATTAGGTAAATTGTAAGTACAAAAATTGTGAAGAATAAAAAGGATGAAGATCCAAATGAATTTGAAAACTACTAAGTTTATTTTTCAAGTTTAAAATAAATGTAAAAAAAAATATAATTACTGATAACTTTTAAATACAATAACTAAGGTTATATAGGGCATATAATTCGGCAAGTCCGTCATCGTATTACAGAACATCATCCGTCATGGTTAAGCAAAGGACAGGTAAGAGTGATTAAAAGTTTTATTCTCTCTCACTTGGTTGATACAGGTCATCAAGTTGAATTGAATAAAGCTTTTAAGGTTATCTACAATATCCCATCAAATTTGCCACATGGTTTACGAGTGCGCCTCTTGCACATTGCGGAAGCCATCGCAATCCATGTTCACAAACCTAACCTTTGCATTCACAAGAGATTCATACAACCACTTTCTCTGCCCTGGCCATCACTATAAGATTTCCTTCGAAAGAACTATTCTTCATACTTCTTCCATTTGTTTTTTTTTAACTTTTGTAATTTTGTTTCTGTTACCTTTGAACTTTATAACTTCTCAACATTCATCTCTTGATTCTTACATAACTACTATCCAATTGACCACCCATTAAAAAAATTCTGTTCCTTCTCTTTTTTCATATATTACGCAACGTAGCAACTTCTTGATTTAATAATTACTTTGATTATCAATAATTCTCTCTCTTCCAATTACTCAATGTTAATTTAAATGTCATTATGTAATTATTACATAACGTATCCACTCAATGTGTATTATATCATTATTATAAATCATATTCTGTTTATGACATAAAGTGTAATAAAAGTCCACAAGACAAGTTCAAATTGTTTTAGTAAACAATCATAAAATATCATGAATAACATTGAGTGTTTTAATTCTATCATTTACTATGTTTCATTAAAACAATTGCTAGTTAATTATGAATAGTGATATAATCTAACAATAAAATAACAGTAATGTTCAGAATCTTCATTTCTTCTTAAGTTTTCTATGATGTACAATAAAAATGCTTTACAGATCGATGTATTTACTGATTGGTTATGATATCATCAATTTGTTTAAACAAAGTAAATCAATAAATAAAATTAGATAAAAGAATTTGATACGTTAATTGTTTTTTTTTTTATTATGAAATTTCAATCTTTCAAGAAGAATATAAAAAAGAGTTTAATATAGATTAGTAGTATTTGTCTGTGAGAAAGATCAGTTATTAACTATGGGATCTGCTCTTGGAATTATAATATTGATTTGCCTACTTAATGAATCAATAAAAGGTAAGTTATTATGTTTACATGACAGAAAAATACTTATTCAATGCAATACAAATAGGTTTGAATTGATAATAAATATGACTTATTTCGAGATCAAAAACACATTTAGATAATAAGTGTTTATTTTGAAAGTTTCTAATCATAAGTAGCTAAATAACGCTTTTTCCTCATAAATTCATTTGATATTTTTACTTGAATTTTCCAATTGATGTTTAGGACTGCAATTGACCAGTTAAAAAAATACCAAGTGAATTTTAACTTCACCACATTACACAAGCAGGACTCAATAATTAAGTGGATAACGCGATGGCGTTCGAAGCGAACGGTACTGGGTTCGAGTCCCAAAGTGAACATTAACCCTGAGATGCAGGTACATCCAGCTGACAAGTTCAAAATAAGATGGAACCCGTGTTCTGGATCCCACTGCTAGCCACTATCTATCTTTGATTATAATTCTTTTTCCTTATTCCTGTAATTATTAGGTTATTGATCGCGTAACATTTGTGAACCGTTGATCTGATTCACCGAAATTAATATTTTAGTGTAAGCAGTTTTTCAAACAGAAAATTGATTATTCCTTTATGTATGTAATACAATCGTAAATAAAGTAAATAATACAATGCACAATCAAGTATAGTATTGAATTACATAGTTATCCATTAAAAATTGCATACACAATAGCATTTTAAAGTTTATGTATTTGTACATTCTAAGAATACTGGATAATGTAACTTGCTTCATAGGAGCATTCACACTAACACACTTTAAACGAGGCGTTTAGTCTTGGTACTTAATCTCTCTGTCTCGACATTACAAAAGGAAGAGTGAAAATTGTTGTTTATAGCTTTACCGAATTACACGATGTTCAGCGTCGTGCATAATTTCTAAAATTGAAATTTCGCTGACTGGATTTCTTTTAAAATACTAGAAGACAAGTAGCGAATCCATAATCACTCTAAACGCCTCTTTCTTTACTTCTGTGTAAAAGTTTTCCGATTAATCTTGTTTATTTTTCAATTTTTACACGATAATTAAAACTTGACGAATAACATGTCCGTCATCAAAATTCACTGAAAGAAGTAACTCAAATAAGTTTTACGGAACAATAAATAAGTTGTAGTTTGAAAAAATCAATAGTGGGTTATAAAACGCGACATTTAAGATTACTGATTGAATAAACTAATCAGCGACCTTATTTTTTCAGCTCCCAAAGTTCCAAGTAAGTGAAAAGCTATTTTTAAATTATTATTATTATTATTATTATTATTATTATTATTATTATTATTATTATTATTATTATTATTATTATTATTAATGTCTTCTTCGCTTCACGATAGTTTAAATTTTACATCCATTGTTTAGAACTATGTTAAATATTACTACAATCCAACGAAACGGTATTATAATCAACTTCAGGAAGAAGACAATTATTACACATGAAAATTTATTATGCACGTAAAGCGGGTCAAAACCATATCTGACTACATTGAGCTTTGAATATTCAATTATACCGATCAACAATCAAGTTTAGATAAATGTAATTGATTAGTGCTATCCATCAATTATTTGACAAAATAAAGTAGAAACCCAGTCCATATAATAAAATTATACTTCTAAAGCCAACCAACGTAATTAATTTACAGAGTCACATAATTACTCATTTCTAACACCTTCCTCCTTAGTTGGTTAAATGTTGGTAGGTCTTTGTGAGGAGTCAGCCGAGAAGTTAGTTGTCCCCCCTCATAACGATTAGGTTCTCTTTAGGTGGCTGTGTGATTGACGCTCAGGTTACTGTTAGTTTTATATTTTTTCCTTGGATCTTCCGTCCGATAATATTTCTCCTGTAAAGTCTCCAACTTATAGTTATTGCTATTATACTTGCCCTACCGTCTTTCCACGTGGCAAGTATGTCTTGTCTATGTGAGTCGTCCACTTCCACTGCAAACATGACTGTAACTGCTCTGTTTTACACTTCCACACGTCAGTCGTGGTCCGGAATTTTAGAAATCAAGTATTCATACTGCTTCGTTCTGGTGGAAACTTCTTGTTTTGATACAGTTGTTTAGTTATCCACTGTCGTTATTTATTTATTTATTCTATCTTGATACCCTGTAAAGTACTTCGGATTTTTTCACGTAAATATATATTTTCAGGTGATGTACTGTTCACTGCTACTTGAAAACTGCGAACTGACATTTGCAAAAACAAGAGAGAATGCAAAATTGAGGGCGAATGAAGATTTTATTCATAGTCCAAACATTTTGTAACTCTTCTACATAAACTTGCTTGTACATAGATTCTTACGGTGATTTGATGATTAGTCATCAAGTGATTTTTCCCTGAATCAGCATTAAATTTACTGAATATTGTGGTGCATGAATATTACAGTAAACTGATGTAAAGAGATTGGCACACTGAATAGACGTCGCTTACTTACATACTTACGTCTGTTACTCCTCGTGAAGGAGCATAGGCCGCTCACCAGCATTCTCCATCCAACCCTGTCCTGGGCAATCCTTTCTAGCTCCGTCCAGTTGTAATTCATCGTTTTCATATCTGCTTCTATTATCCGACGCAATGTGTTCTTTGGCCTTCCTCTTTTTCTCTTCCCTTCAGGATTCCAAGTTAGGGCTTGCCTCGTGATGCAGTTTGACGATTTGCGTAATGTATGTCCTATCCATTTCCACCGTCTTTTCCTAATTTCTTCTTCAGCTGGAAGTTGGTTTGTTCTCTCCCACAAAAGAATAGACGTCGCAGTAAACTGAAAAGACTGTTATACTAAAGAATATATTACACTGAATCGAAACATGATCTAGCGCTTTTACCTGTCCTAACATACTTCAGTTAACTCAAGCTTTTTGAAATTTCAGGAAAAACTACAGATGTATTTTTTATTCATCTCTAAATAGCCACTATCATGAAATCTAAGGTAAAAATGGTTTCTTACCGAAATGTAAGAACGGTTTGTCCACACAGCTGAAACATTGAGGGAATGTTTATGGGTTTATGGATTATATATGTCAAAACAATAGAAAGAGTTAATTTAACATTATATTTTAGGTAATATTACAAAGCGTAAGTCAAATTGCTCTGATACAATTTCTCATCCATATCCATTTTTTAATATTACACGCATCATTCTTGTTGTAAATCATGCTGATACTCTAGTTTATCAAGGAATACCTTGAAAAATCACTTCCAACATCAGTTTACAATGTATTAAATCCCTTGCTTCATAGTTTAAAATGTAATAAATAGATATTTAAAATTATCAGGGAGTAAACTGGGATATTAATATTATTGAGAAATCATGACTACTTTAACTTTGAATAAAACCCACAACGAATTTCAGATCAATAAACAATACCTTTGAGATTCTCAACAAGTGCCTTATTACATAAAGACTTTAGTCTAAATTTGAACGAATAGTTTCACAGTATTTAGGTTTCGAGTTAGTTAGACATTAAGGAACAAGAATATATTTGTAAAACCTCAGAGATTGAATTTTAAGTAGGTTTAGCGTTTCGCTCGTCAGTCTGGTTCAAGATTTTTCGAGAAAATGTAAATAAACATCAAAATTGTCGAATATAACTGGGTACACGTTTGCCCGATTAATTGTATACTAAATGGGTCATCCATTCATGTTAGCAATATTTGAAGTAAGTATTTTCTGTAGTATGTTTGAAACATGTGGTGTGTAACGAAACGTGTGTTAAGATAACAGATTGTGTGTATTCGTAAGTGGATCTGAGGTGTGAGAAGAAATTTCATTGACTATTTACCGCCTCCGACTGGTGGATTTTTGAAGAAAGCATACAATCATTATATGTAATGAGTCAGATACATTACAGCACGCATAGAATAAAGATAAATAGATAAAATAAAAACTAATAAACTAATTCAATTTTGCATTGGTTTTTGAATCTTCCCATTGATGTTCAGCACCGTAATTGATCACTTTCATGTTGGCATATGTGCATGCTGTGTGGATTGCTTCAATTTTGTCTTAAGTCACAAGCGTTATAAGCAGAGATAATGTTTGTGTTATTTTGTTGTTTGAGGTAATTGTTCACCATATATTAAGATAAACCAACCAATCAAGATAAACCAATCTTCAGACAATAAGTGATAGAATAAATGGGATAAATAGTTCAGGTTTACTTAATAATTATTAGTTTTCATGAGACAGATAATTGTATTCTGTGTCACCCATACAACAGCCCCGGCTGTTAGTTTCTATTTGTAAGAACTAAAATCTTTCATAGAATTCTTGTGCTATTGAAACCAATTGTATGGCCCGACTCTGTTGAGTGTAATGTCATCAGTGATCTGCTTTCGAGCTTTTTCATATCATCTGATGATTTATAAATGTGCTTTAAGCAAGGTTTGTGTTCTTTCACACTCGTATTCAGCTGTGTTGTTTCACTTACATGTACAGAATTAAAATCACTACATTTGATTTCATATACATGAGTTTGTTGTTCCTCTTTGTGCATTGAATCTTTGATTCTTACCAGTTCGAGTACTAGAGTATTGTTTGGCCGAAAGAACACTCATATTTTGGAGATTTAGGATACTTCTAATCTCTTCTGAAATTCCTTTACGATGTGGGACCATTAGTGTGTTAAATCATCCTTTTAGTTTATCTTTTACCTTATCGTTTAGGTCTTTTTTCTCAATTATTCTTCTCATAAAATCATTTGGATATAATTAAATTCATTTCAGTTTCCATATTATGTGGTTCAGTGATGAGTTTTTGGACGCTGTTTATCAAATTATTGGCCACTGTCACTTTGGTGGAATGTGCATGTGTTGAATTGTAATCGAGGTATTTTCCAGAATCTGTTTGCTTTCGGAATACATTAATTTTTTGAAAAGTCCCCTTCAACCAAACAATCCAGAAGAGGTAATTTGTGTTCAATAGATTTGATCCCCCTAGTGAATCTAATGTTGTCAGATATACCGATGACGTTTTAAAACATTTCGTTTTATGATGACAAATGTATCATCTACGTAATTCAACTAGAGCCTTAGTGGAAGGGGACACTTAGAAACTGTAATTGTTTGCAATAAATGCATGAGTAAGTCAGCAACAATTGGAGAAATTAGTGATCCCATCACTACACCTATTTGTCTGTAAAATTCTCCCCGAAAACTGAGAAAGATTTAATGCAAGCATAGATCCATAGCTTTAGTAATGTATGAGGGACCTAATGAACATCTTTGTTTTAGCTGTGTCAGAATCCAAGAGATTATACACAATATCTAAAGCCTTCCTAAAAGGGACATTAGTGAACAAAGAGAAAATATCAGAACTTGCTATTAACTCATCTTCTTCCATATGGATAGTAGTGATGATGTCATTGGATTCACAAGAATTATTTATTCCAATCTTGTGTCATTTAACTTATTTGAATTATTAAAATGAAGAATTCTCTATATATACTTGACTATTGGGTAAAAAGAGGGAGATCAAACCCTGGTTAGAATCAGTCTGTGCTTATTTCAGTACGTGAATCTATCTATTTTACAATTTATTTCAAAATATATCTCCATCATCCATTTTATTTCTGTTCTGATAGTTTACAGTAAGCTCTTTTTATTACTAAATTGCATTAATTTACATTTATATTAAAAAAATTTATCATGTTATTTTATAACAGTTAAGAAGGTTCAGGTTCACAAATGTGACCGTTTAAAAATAATAATGGACCATTTCTGACTTTATACTTTGCGTAACTATTTATAGTTTTCATTTGATGTACCACTAAATCAGACTCACTCGAACAGCAGTAATGATAAATATAAGAGTGTTTCTATTACTATTCAACACTTTATTTATAAATGAAATAATCTCTAAAATAAAAAAAAATATTTCGAAAATATACGTTTAAGGTACAATACTGAGTATGTAATCTGTTAATTATTACTCCATCAAATCTAATGAATCCACAACACAATGTAGACTCATTGTATGAAGTTGAAATATTTCTACAATCCTATTTCAACATAACGATAAATAAACTGATAACAGAAGACCTGCATTTAGTTCTCATGACAATCCGATACTTAATAAAGAGGCTTATTTAAACTATATAAACAACATTCTTTTTGAATGAGAATATCATTAGCAAAATATTTTGAAACAGTATCGAGAATTTTACTACAAAATAAATTACATTTAATTGGCTAGAAATGTTTGTAAATTTATGATATATTCGATGGTTAGAAGGAGTATATCGTAATATTCATTTCTTTTACATTCGAATTTACCTACCAATTTAACTTTTCATAAAAGAAAGTTATTTATAAAAGTTAAGTTCATGTTCAAAATGTTTTCTGAATTTTGATTCTTTAATTGTTGAAACAAACAGAGAAAGAATTATCAGGTGAGCACTTAGAAATTGTTATGTACGTACTTTATGTTTAAATGATAAAAAGTTTTAAAGGGAATAGATAACAATATTTTGTTGCAATTCGGATCCTGCATAGCATCAAAGGAAGCGTAAGATTCTCATCCTTTCCCACAAATACAATCAAACAAGATCGTTGAGTTGGATATGGTCCTGATTACCGGTATTGTAAGTATGAACTACGCAAGATACCTGAAATGATAGGATCACTAAGCTATACAACCCTCTGAGTTATTCGATAAAACCTATACAATCAAATATGAAATATATCAAGTAGATAACCCGTTATAAATCAAAGTTAGTTGCATGTCAAAGAAGATTTGAGTCTCCATCAGACAAGGGTCACAATGCTGTTGGCTAGCAACCAGTTATTTCGATCTATTAACCTCAGATAGTCAACTAGTAGCACAAACATTGTACAGTGATGCTATAAAGCCTCAAGTAGTCAAATCACTGAGAAATATGAACTATTCAAGTGTCAAGAGATGAGTAGCAGTTCGTAACAGGGAGAATCACTCCTTTCTCCATAAGAGGAGAAGAATGTGGAAAGGATTTACGTTACTGAGTACCGATGAGATAAATTCTTAATTTCGAGAAACTCGGATTACTTGTGCTTTGACGCTCCATATGTCTAAAAGTTGTTACTGAATGAAGCTTATTAAGGATTCTATAGAGTACTCTAGTCGTTTGTATTCGTACATAAACCAATAAACTAATAGAAGAGACAACATCTCAGCTTTATGGAGAGACAGTAGTACTGCATCATTAGTGAAAGAAGATTATCGTAAAGCACAGTTATTTTCCAATTACGTTAGTAATGTGAACACTGTGGTGGTGCCCTCCCTTTCTGTCCATAGAAACCCTCCATGTACACTTCGAACACTGTGACTTGTGAAGAGCACGACGTCTCTGGTTTGTTAAATAAGCTTGATGTTGGTAAATCCATGGTAACCGATAAAATGCATCTTAGATTATTAAAGTATAAAGAAAGATAGATGTTTATACCTACATAAGGGGTACAGTTGGGAGGATTTTCACAAACAATTAGATACAGACGCAAAAGCCGTGCAAAATGAATCCTGTAAACACAGTTATTTTCTTGGTTATCGAATAGCTTCTTTGTTTATTGGGGTACAATTGACAATTAATTCTAAAGGATTTGTATAGTCCCAAAAATTAAACTAGTGAAGCATACAATTTGTATACAATACATACAGAACATTTGACAAATAAAATTTATATTATAAACATATTGGTACAATTTAGATGTGAATGAAAGAGGTAAGTTAAATTATTTCATTACATTAGAATTCTGTCAGTCTTCACCGTTATTTGTGTATTAAGATTGCATCAAGTCAATCTCATCAGGTTTGTTGTAAATAAACAACTCTCCAGTTATATTTCACTGTATTTAGAAGTAAAACCCAATGTTAGTTGTTTAGAGTAAATAGTCTCAAGTTAGTCCAGCGTACAAAGTCATTGTGCAACGTAGACAATGGGTACTTTGATTACAGCTACAAATGCTGACTTTTGTACATCCGGCTCAGCTATATCAACAAGATCCGGTTTTGCGAATTAAGAGCCACTGTTTTGACGTATAAACAAGTCAGACAAGAAAGTGGATAATTATACTATTTAAAACCGAGTCTGATTCAGAAAGTAAGCTGCGAACTAAACATTTCATTAAACAGAAATGGAGGGTTTCTCAGTTTAAGTAATTGAAACCACAATATTTTTTTTGATGGCTGGCCTTGAAGTCCTTCATCAACTTTCTGTAAAGAATAATAATTTATTGATCATCCCAAGCTTTACTGTTTGGGGAATTTGTCGGGATGATCTTCAGAAGAACGGAGCGTTGTTTGGATTATACACAGTGGATCAGTGGTATGTAATTCAGCTGAAGATAAACAGACTGATCAAGCTTCAGATACCTTAGATTTATAATTGAAGACAAAATGTATTAGAAAAAGCAGTTTCATGAAGAAACGCACAACTGTAATGTTGTTCGTTAACTGAAGGTAACCTTAAGAGGAACAAATATCTGTTTGAATAGTCTTTTTATCGAGTGATCGCCAAAGATTATTTGACTTAATAGTGATATTTGGTGTTAAATCTATTCGCAAGCAATTTGAATGATATTATTGTTGCGAACTTCCCTTCATCATTGAATTTAGGATGACTTGTTAGTGATGAACTCAGGAAGCGCCTAAACAGTTCAGTGCTAAGCTTGAATTTTAATCTAAATGTATTAAGCTGAAAAGTTTAACTGTATTCTTCTTTATGACCAGTCACTTTGTATTGACGACAGCGACATTTTCTGTATGAATAGAATGTAATAAATAATCGCCATCTTATAATACTAGAATGACTATAATAACCTCGTATTATGACAAAATAGGGTCTGATGGTAGAAATCAAAATTCTGCTTATCATCTGATAAGTTAGAGAACGTTGAACCAGACTAGTACAGTAGTGCAATAGTGTACAATGATGATTTTGACCATTTTTGCCATATAAAGTTGAGTTGATATTCAAGGAATTCATCTATTCTTTTCATTTCTTGAAATAAAAAGACAAAAAACTTAAAGGTGAGAGATAATAATTTTCATTTTATGTATTTTGAGGGCTAATAAGTTAACCATGAGTTGATAGGATATAAGGTTCAACAAAAGATAATTACTTAAATACCAGCTATAAAACTATAAACATGCATATGAACTAATCATTTACATGAAAAAAGTAGTAAGGGAAATATTTTTGCCGGTCAATAACTAATCGATAACTTGGGGCTCTAATTAATAGGTATATCTTTGACCACCGATCCCAGAATGCCATGCAAATATTTGTAGACAGTCAACAGTTGAAGTTCTCTATGTTCTCTTTTATTTTTCTGTGCCATATATGTTTTTGTTCCTGGGCTAAAAGTACACTAACGAAAAGAAATTCGTGAAAACTTTCTGGTATTGATATCAGTTCTAGGTATTTCGACAGCGAATTTCAAGTATCTTGATTATTATTTAACATATATAGTGAACTTGATTGAATTATGATTTCGAATCCCATATTAATAATTTTGAGAATCATATGAAGAAAGTGTCTCATTAAACATTGAACTTTATTTTACACGAACTATTCTAAGCTAAACTAAAACTTTTAGTCAGGTATATTGCATTGTATTTTGTAGCAATTGTTGCATTAAAACGTTTTAATAACAATTAATGCTTTATATTAAATGTCTTATGTTGCTGAAGTGAATGGCTGAATTATTTATTTAGTGAAAGGTCACAAACAAAAATGATGAATTCTGTGACACGACAATTTGTATATGTATTCCTGTTCAAAGTAAAACGTACAAAATATTAATTGTAATCCTATATTTGTATAAGTGTTCATTTTCAAATATTACACATTTCAAACTAATATTTGAGTCAGAATGGGTTTTGTGAAGATTTCTAGAAATTTCAATAGTTGAAATCATGAGTCAATTGAAACTAGACCACCATGAAAAACCTGGAAGCACTGGATGGCCGTTTCGTCCTAGTATGGGACTCCTTGTCAGTACGCATCCACGAACCCGACCCCCGCGAAAGTCGAACCCAGGATCCATCAATCTCGCGCGCAGGCGCTTAACCATTAGATCACTAAGTCATCATCCAACAGTGTTAATGTCTAACTTCAACTAATCCACGAAATTGCGCCACCGTACACCATTGTTTTCAGTGAGCTGATATCTCACAACAAACTTTGGTCGAACTCCACTGGTAACGGCTTCTCACTAGAACTCTAGGAGTACCTCTTGAAGTCAGTCACTAGTGATTATTGTCAGAAAATGATGAGTTCTGTGACATAATGACTTGTATATGTATTTCTGTTTCAAAGTAAAACGTACAAAATATTAATTGGAATCCTAGATTAGTATAAGTGTTCATTTTTAAATATTACATATATCAAACAAATATCTGAGTCATTAAAACTTATCAAACTTTAATAATATTTTATGTTCTATTATTGTTTTAACTTCATAAATTAAATTTCATAAAATTGATGATTTAAAATATTCAAGGTCATTTTAAAACTTTAACATTTTTCTTGTAAATTTTAAATTTAATTAGTCTTGTTTAGTAACTGTGAGTAACACTTAGTTTTTAAAAATATTTATAAACTGGACATGTGTAACTTGGTAATGTATTGCAACTTCCATTAAATTGTGTTAATAATTATGAAATGTCTATACATTTAGTGTAGTGCAGTGACAAGTTTCATTTATGAAAGAAGGTTATGACATAAAAGCATCATGAATTCTATCATCTGACTGATTTATTATTTCACTTCGTCAAGTCTTAAAAATCAAGTTGATCAATGTTTTTTTTTTTGATAGTTAACTTTGTATAAATAAATAATTCTTCCATTCTAATAATAGTGGGGATAAATTTCATAGTATCTGTACAGCTAACCATTTCTTATTACTAATCCAAGTTTAAAAATTTCATATTTTTGAAAATTTATTTACTTTCAATGATCAATTCATAAATAAAATACTAACCAACTAATGGAATTCTAAATTATTCATGATAAATACTACTTACAAATGAAATAAGTTAATCATAAGCTGATGTGATTGGTTTTTAATTTGCATAACAAACTGTTATGGAACCCTATTAATAATGTTCATATATTGGAATGAATATGAAAGATGATATAAATGTTATTTCTTTAGAATACTAAAGATTATATAGTATTTTAAGAAGCTTAAATTATTGTTATTTATTGGACAGTTCAAGAAAGTAAACATCATAACGGTAAATAAATTTGTTCATATTTCTTTTGATCTCTTTATTGAATGAAGTGTAAATGTTGTTTTGAATAAGAAATTTTATTCTTAAAAAATCACATTTCTAACAGTTTTATGTATAAATGTTATTTTAGTAAGAACCGGTTAAATTTATGTATTGAAGTTCACATTTGTATTACTGATCTCACAGATAAGTTTCTTATTTAAGATATTAGCAAAGGATGTAATGATAGGAATCAAAAAATGATTTTGATAACTTAAATATCTCTATTTTCAAGAATTTACTCACGAAGCATGAAATCCGAAAACTTTTAAGATCATCGGAAATATATAATAACAATACTACAGAGTCAACGTTTTATCTTAGTTATCATTCTTATTTTGAATTTTGAAGTAAACTTTTTATTGTCGAAGATATTTACCCCTTTCTAGAGGTTAAGCGTTCGTGTACGAGACCGATAGGTCCTTGATTTGAATCCCGCGGGCGGGATCGTGGGTGCGCACTGCTGAAGAGTCCCATACTAGGACGAAATAGCCGTCCAGTGCTTCCAGGTTTTCAATGATGGTTTAGGTTTAATACCAATATATTAAATGAAATACACGCATTCATAAGAAGAACAAGTAATTCAGTCAAAGAAATCTGTCCTAAAAATTCAATTTTAAAGCTTTACACTATATAACTAGAAATTTACTAATATGAAGAAAATTTCACATATCGGTTATAATTATATGCTTGAATACATAATTTTGTTAGCTAATTTCATAAACAAGTAAATGTTTGCGCATAGTATTAATTAAGCATCATAAGTACTATTAATATGAAATGAATTGTACAATTGTAAATATTTACTAATTAATTATGATTAGAAACATATAGACGAAATTTGAGATCAAAAGAAAAATAATACACATGAGTTTACCAAGTTGATTTAAAAAGTTAAAGGATTAAACTCTCGAAAGTTTGTTTGTGTTTTCTTACTTGTCTATATGTAGTTCAGTTAGAGTTTGTAGTTGATATTAGGTAGTGAGTCTTAGGTGAAATTATCTTCATTTTTAAAAGATTAATTTCCCGTCTTTCTAATATAATGATTGAGAGAAGCTTGAGAATGAGGTAAAGCGTGAATCCTCTCAAGAAGCATAATATCTCGCCTAAGCAAAAATTGATTTTGTCAAGATTGGTAATAAATAAGTGACTGACAAAGTAAAACTGGCGTCCTTCTAAACAAAAGAAATACTTACAGAAAAACTATAAATCACAAGCAGTGAAAAACGAATTGTATTTTGTCTTTACCATTGCCACGTTAGCATTAAATGCACTAAATCACTTGATTAATAATACTCTATACCCTTAGATCGTGTGATAAACGAACTACCATTCAATCAATTCGAATTTAATTATTTATAATTTTAAATTCTAGTTTATGTGTTGTGAATGTTCCTATCAAAATCTATTGAAGTTAATCGTGAAGTTATGAATTTCTTTTAAGACCAATTCAAGCAAAAGATTTTTTGACTGTAGACTTTAATCAGTTGTGAACCAATTTTTTAGGATGGGAATACCAAAAGAAAACTCAATTTTGACATAAGAGAGAAAAAGAGAAAATATGACTTAACATTTCTCTTAGTATTTTTAATTAAATCAAGAATTTAAACTTAATCTCTAGCAGTTGATTAAATTTCACATTTCCTTTCAGATGAATTTCAGCCAAACGTAAACAGGTAAACACTGACTATTTAAACTTTTTTATCTTTCAAGAAAACTACATATAGACTTCTATGTTGATATTGTAAAATGATCCATAGTAAACAATTTATTTAATAACGGTATCTCTTACATAGCCTTTATTAGTTATGGGATATTTGATATAGTTTTTTTTATATAAAAATCGACTAAACATTTGCGTATGTTCATTAGTGATATATAGCGTAGTTTTTAAGGTAAATAATTGACATTTCATGATGGTGAAACCTTGAGCTGTTAGCAGTAATAACTTGAGTAATATATGTTTACACTGAAACACTAACTTTTCATTGAAAATTAGGCAACAAAACGTGTTGAAGTGACTACAACATTTCTTTCTGTACTAACTTATATTCTCTATAAACCTTATCAATATAAATTGTAGTGAGAATTACCATAGCATGATTTAAAAGACTTACTGTGGAAAGAAATTGATAGTTAAATTGATGAAACTTTTGAAATCCAGTTGCGTTTTATCTTGAGCGAATTCTGTCAAGAAATACAAATGATTGTCAAGTAATTGTTTTTTTGTATAAGTAAATAATCGAGTTTGTAAAATGTCTCAGCTTCAAAAAGTTGTTAAAAAGCCAACTACCTAGTAATTTAAAGTATAATCCTATGGTTTTATAGTTTCCTTTTGGATCTAAAATGTCGCAACATGACATCCAGAACGAAGTACTGTGCTTAGGATCGCTAGCGCCAACGGAAAGTGCGTCTAAAACAATATCAACTTATGTCATTCAAAAATGGTCGGACATTAAGTCAGGAGAATATATTCACTGTAATCAGACTATTATAATTAGCCATAGTTCAGTGTTGGTGAATGAAGTTAGTCAAAACATTCAGTTACACGTCCCGATAAACTGTAGTCCGAAATGTGTTTGACACTTATGCTCCGATCAGATTATCTTGTTAATGGATTGATAATTTTTAGGTTATTGATAAATACGAGAAACGATTGTCTATTAAGTTTACACTTTTTGTCATTTGTAGCACAATAATAAGTAGAGTATGGTATGTTAAATTATGCTTTTGTAACCACTTTTTATGCACTAACGAGAGTTGTTCCAACAAAATTTCACAATGGTAATAATTTTCCAGTAGACTTGTAGTGAATGAGAACTCCGATAGTTAAAAACAGTTTACTGTTCAAGCCCTAACTAAAGAGTGTTTTAGTTAAATATGAAAATCATACATTAAATACATTATTTGCATATCTTTCCTCAGTTGTCCTTTACTTGCTTCACGATTCTTTTAATTCTGTTTTCGTTACAATTGTTTTCTGTTTCCCTTCCTATTCTCTACAATTCAGTCTGCTGTTAACAGATATGCCACATTTGATTGCTACTACATACTACTTATACCTGTCGGCATAACTAGCATACACAATAGACTTGGTTTTATTTGTCTACCTGGATTCATGTTTATAAGATCTTAATTGAATAAACCTTTGAAAACTGCATAGTTTAAGTTAAAATTATCTCAAGCCTTTTCAGAGGTAATCTTGAACGTAGAATTGGCGTGGAGCTATGATTACAAAATAGATAATGCTCTTATTTTTGTACTTTATTTTTCGTCATGCGTCATAAATAGTGAAAATTATCTATAAAAACAAATAAATCCAACATTGCACCTTCTATTTAAATTATATCCTGTCTGGACCTGTATCAGATCGCCTTGATTCAGAATAGGGCATCTCTTCACAGTGGTAACTAAATAACTACTTAATTTACACCACTAAGTTCTCAGCGTCAATTTAAGTTTGTGAGTGCTACACATACATCTTTAAGGTACTAACCAAATTACGCCTGTTACCCCTCGTGAAGGAGCATGGGCCACTCACCAGCATTCTACATCCAACTTTGTCCTAGTCAATCCTTTCCAGCCCTTTAGAGTTTCTATTCATTTTTTTAGTTTCTGCTTCCAATTCCCGGCACAGCGTGTTCTTTGTTCTTCCTATTTTCCTTTACCCTTCAGGATTCCAAGTTAGAGGTTGGCTAGTGATGTAGTCTGATGATTTCAGCAATGCATATCCTATCCACCGCAAGCGTCTTTTCCTAATTTCCTCTTCGGCTGGAAGCTGGTTTGTCCGCTTCCATAGTAGATTCATGCTGACCAACGGTCAGTGAATATCTTGCATAGACAATTGTTTATAAATACTTGTACCATTTTGATCATGGTTTTGACAGTACTTCAAGTTTCAGCTCTGTACAGTAGAACTGTTTTGACGTTCGTATTGAAGATTCTGACTTTGATGTTCGCTGACAGATGTTTTGAGTCCCATATGTTTTTTAGTTGCAGGAATCTCGCTCTTGCTTGGTCGCTCCTTGCCTTCACATTTGCATCAGATCTTCCTTATTGATCGATGATGCTGCCCAGATACTTTTAAGGTGGTGATCATGAAAACAAAATTTAAATTTATCCATTCTTATTCATCCATCTGATTTCAATCAAAACTAAATACCTAAATACTACAGAACATATAGTTCGCAGACCTATGTCCATATGTTTTATGATTTATACTTCAAAATAATGGTAAACTTCCCTCTCTTACATAATAATCAATGTATCTAGATCAAACAACGAGGCTTCAAGTTACTCTTTATGATATAAGACAAGTGGATTTAATCTGAATGAAATTCACACAGTTGAAAACTTATGTAATTTTCTCGATTGATAAGATCATTTAAAAAGGATTACAAAGTAATCTGTTATTTCTATTAGTATCCATATTATTCTTATTCAAACTTCAGTTTATATGTTAACATTTTTGTTCAAATAGCATCTATCAACTAGAGTACTTATGATCAAATGTACAATTAATAGTGAAACTTTAGATTTTTCTGTACTTATTAATTTGTGTGTTCTACTTAAGAACTTTGCCAACAAAGGATAACACCAATGTTTCAAATAAAATAATTCACGATAAAATGTAAAATTCATAAGATTGCAAATCAGAGAAGTCTATGATTGAATCATTATTTATAAACTACTAATTATATATTTTAATTATTGAATTACATCATCACTCGTGCACTGAAAGTAACATAGATTAAGCGTATCTAATTCTATCGATCAAGATGCAATGTAGTTAATGGTCTACGTAACTTAGAGTAGTATGCTCTGTTTTTTTTTAATGTAAAATAATTGCAGAATACTGACTGTAAATGCTTTTTGTTTCACCTTAACTTTCAACATATTTTCAGTTGTTTATATATCTTTCGTTTATTAAAGGGAACTATTCAATCACTGCTTTCTAACTTTTGATAATTTGGCTAAACTTATTCAAAATGATCATGCATTAAAATAAAAGTGAATGATATTAAGTGAACTTTCTGATATACCGTGAAAGCCAGCTTTATAAATTACTTTTTTATAGAAAGAACGTTTTTTTGTTGATATTCAAATATTTATACAAAGATAATCAGTGAATTCAGCTAACGTCATTGGGTTCAACTCGTCTCAGTATTTTGTTTTGTAACTACAAATTCTGTCTCTCCGAAAAGTGAGATTGAAAAATAAGTACAATAAATTAACGGCAGTTGCAAACAAGATAATGAAAAACTTCGTAAATAAGGGTCAAACTCAGGAAATCTCCTGTATTACAAACGACGGTATACAGTGGTCAATGACAGGCGTGGCTAAGTTTCAGACATTGTTCAGTGATTGAGAGGAGTATGATAACGATGATATTTGTTATCGCTGCTCATTTTGTGGTTCCGTGTTGATCATCATTTGAGCATTGTGTAATGAATCTTCGTGTATTTTGACCGTTTAAAACATATTCATAAGATTTAACTCCCATTTCATGGAAAGGTTAAGTGACAGGTTTTTGTAAGCCTGAAAATCATATTATAAACTAGATTTTATTTCATGAGACACGGCCTATGAGTAAATAAATTGAAAAGGAATGTTCTGTGTAATTTTTCTGAAGTAATTAGTAGACAATATACTTTCAAAATTTTCTGGAGCAAACACTTTGCTCCTTAAGATCAGTATTTTGCTTGTAGAATAGGGGTGAACTGGTCTCAAATACGGAAGCATTTGATAATGAGGCTGTTCAAGAATTTTATTAAGTAGTCCTAAGTCCGATAAGATAAATGTTCAGGGTGAGTAAGTGGGAAGTTACGTTTTAACTGTAGGTTTATGTATCATGAACCGTAATATGGGAATTAGCTAGTTGACAGGGGAGATGTGATGCATGGCATAATTATTTGTGATATGGTGAGAATGCTTGACTGGGCCGCTTCAGCTAATTTTGTGTCCAATAAAGCCATTGTGATCACTATTAATGTCAATGACATACGAAGCTAATTATTTTGGGGATTTATTTACTATTTTATGTTTCTTAGGTTAAAGTATGTGTAATTGTTCTTTTAATCACTGAGGATCCTGAAAAATCAAAGCATAAACGTAAAGTAAACCATTACTGTAGGGTAGTAAACGGTACTAACGAATGTAACCATGAATACAAACCGTACAAAATACCTATATAAATACAGTCACTGGGCTGAAAAGCCAAAATTTGATGTAGAAACAAGTCTGTCAAAAGAAAAGTGTAGTTTAACAATCAAATAATTTGATCGTCCAAACTCAGATTGGAAACAATTTGTACAAATCTTTTACAACACATCTACGAAAAATTCTTTAATTAGACGCTTGAAAAATACAAACTAGTTACTTGACAAAAGAAGATATCTTCAACAGATTAGGAGTATAATTTTATCGACTTACTTATCTAGAGTAGTAAGTTAAGTAGAATTAAAATGGCTAATCAAACTCAAGGAACGAAAACAATACACAGGGAAAGCGAAACTGCATGTAAAATAGATATTAACAATTTTACCTAGAACCAAAATGTAGCTAAAATACACGAATTAAGGTATCAAGAATAACAACTATCTATGGAACTGAAGTATTAACACTAATGGTCTTGTAGAGTCGTACCAACATTATATCTTTTGGGGTCAACATCTCAAATATTGTGTCTTTAATTGTGACTACCGTCCCTTCCAGTGCTTTTACAGTCCGCAGTTGGAGTTCAGAGTTGGTGAAAATTGCCAGTGGAAGCATAAACGATTCTTATTCTTATAAATGTTACATTGGACAATCGTAATTAATAGTGTAACAAAAAACGACTTTTACTGTACCGGTGATTGGAACTTGTTATGGTTACATTATTTTGCTTCTGTGTCACTAGTTTATTCACTCTGGTTCGGGTATCCGTGATACCTTGCATTTTGTTCTCACTTTGAATATAGAAAGTCCAACAGCAAAAAAGACTTTATATTTAGGGTGATACGAAAGCTTTTTGTTTCATAAGACGTACACATGAAGGAAGCTTTACAAGCAAACACAGATATAAATACATACATACACAAATACGTGAATACATACGTAAAGGACATTACGAGTTGTTTCTCATTTTGAGCGGCTCAGATGCTACAATACTTTGAGCACTGTGAAATGTCAGGCCATAGTCATTAAACTACAGAAAGTTTTCATTGTTTTCCATGGATTTGATCAAAAAGATCAATAGCTTGTTCCCTCAAATTCAGTTGCAAGGTACATCTGTTAAGTAATACGTGATAAAATGATCAAATGCTTGATACCGTGGAAGTCTCCATCTGTTTTTTGGGCCATAACCGTACTCTTCATGTCTAGAATAGGTTTTCCTTAGCAAGAAACATTGACAGGTGAAGTAATATTTCGCATGTGCCCCAATCAGGCTTGTAAGATTCAAGTGTAGACAAGCGTGGGACCATAAAGGCTGGGGATAAACTCCAGGTTGTCAAGTCACCTAAGTGTATCTTACTCAGTAGTTGCGGTTATGTTCTCATTTGTTAAATCACTCACTTGTAGATATTTTGGAATAGTTTCCATTATAGAATTAATTGGAGGTATAACTTTTGCGATGTTGTGAATTTCTTCCATCATAACTGAGCGCGCTACATTTGACACGTCCGTAACTTGATGATTTGGTATTTTCGTTGTAGGAAACTTTACATTTCCGTATAAACTAGAAAAAATGTTAGAGATCAAAGAATGCCATTTATCATGGATTACGATAGGGTAAATAATAATTCCCGCTTCATACTGGTTGTTTACCAGGTGCAAGGTAGAAATCGAGAATGAGAGTGGAGCTTAGCTTCATCCACCATAATCATATTACTCATTCGAAATTCTATCATTAAGTTTTCCAGTGGTAAATAACTCACTAAAATAAATGGCTTGGAAGGAACTTGGTTAAGTATCTTGACTATCAGCCACTATGATGCACGTTATATTTTTCTTTTGCTGATTAGATATACTGGCCTGTTCTACAATTACTATCTTTAATATCTGTATTCCGCTTAAGTTATTTGATGGATATTGTTATCAATTGTACCTGGTATTCTGACATCGATGAGGATTAGCAAACATGAAACTGTCAGGTACTTTGTCTTACTTTTATATTTTGTTTCTAAGCTACAACTGCAAAGATGCTTTGCGGAGAAAAGGATTTTAATGATTAGTTACGCTCACGATGGTATGGGTCTTAGCTAAGCGAAAATGTGATAGTATCTAAACTTGTACGATCAAACCTAAGTAGATGAATTGCTAAGGAACAACAAATATATTAGTTTATAAATAAGAAATTGGTTCACACTACGCAAGGGGAGTGTGTTAGCAAGCAAATCACCATAATAAAATGTTCTGTAAGTCTTCGACCTTGACAATGACTCCAATAGTTTAACTGGACACATCTCTAGATAAAGACACTCATTCAAGTATCCAAAAATAGGTCAAGCTGTGATGGTCTATTTTGCACGTCTTTTACAACCGATAATAAACTATGATCATATACTTCTCGACACGCCAATTATCTTACGAATGGTTCCTCGAACCCTTACATTCGTGAATTCTGATTTGATTGGGTCTGAGATCGTCGATTACAACGGCGTTACAGACGATGGAGTTATTAGGCATTACATATCCGAGACATCTTCCGCGGTGAGCTTGGTGGTGGTCTGGTACGCCGACAGATAAACTTTCAGCCTGTTCCTTATTATAAAACTACGTATACTTTACACATACTGTGATATTGCTTTTGTGTTCTTATGACCTTTTTTCTAACCTTCATAAGTTTTATCCACTTTATGTCGAAGCAACACATTTGAAAATTCAGAGACTAAGTCTGTTATATCTTTCATCTCACAACTCATGTCATTCCGGCCTGACAACATCGAAGCTATTTCTCTCATGAAGAAAGCTGAATTCCATGAGCTCGGTGTGATCGATATACTAGCTCAGTTACTCGTAGTAGTGCAGGTATCACCTTGCGAGTTTCGTAAGAACTTTACGGCTGCCACGTTTGCTAGTATGTTTATGGACTTTATGAAAGTGTGTAAAAGGCCGTCCTTGGACATGGAGACCTAACCAACCGGTAAACTTTAGGCCACCGATCCTGGAAAAACGAGTTCTGAGACAGTTCGGCAACTGAACCGTTGTTACGTATAAGAAAGGTCATTGTTCAATAAAATTTTGAAGTATCTGTTTTTCGGAAAGCTTTTCTGCCTAAATTTTTTTAAAACGTGCAAGCGGTTTTTTTCAACCTGGAATAATGTTATACAAAAATTAGATCTATCTACCAATCGTATTCTCATGATCGTCAAAATCTCTATCAACAAGGTCTGTTCTGTCTAAGAGAAGCCTTAGAAGACCCTAAACGAAATTACAGATTGTTGTAATAATCTCAATCTCTTTGCTAATCTTAAGTATAACTAATGATTAATTTGTGCCTGATTGCCCGCTGATTACGATCTAGTTCTATCTGCCTTAAAGTACACCATTGCGGGAATTCCTAGTTAGTACACTGATTCGAATACTACGGATCACCACAGGTCTATTTCTGAAGACACGTTTCTGCCAGCCAGTTATTTAAGCGGTCTAGTAAAACAGACGAAATGTGCCATATGACCAAGGTTACATGACACTTATTTTTCAACTAATTTAAAAGTAATATGTCGCAGATTCTGTTTGCTGAGCATTGATGATTTTGATTTTTATGTGTCTACTATATTTGAGTTTTATATTTTGGTATACCACCTTGAAACTATTGTTATTTAGCAATAAACCATAATAATTCCAGTCCACGCCACCAGACATCAGTAAAGCAGGCTTGTGCCAAGAATAAGATACATGGAGTATACCACAGGTAACTTTTGTATAAATTGAATGGAGTTTGAGAAACTTTAGAACTTAGAGAGAGTAGTGATACTATACATCATTTTGTTATATTATCTTATTTGCTCAATCCTACTCTAGAATACACGAACTTTTTGATTGGCTTCCTACCATGGCTTTTAAAGTGTTTTTTTGCTACCCCGTTAGCAATTTTATTTCTCTAACTCTTGTTATCATTTGTTGACAAAGGTCTATCGAACTTTTGGTCTACATGCTGTACTATCTATCTGGTCCTAACCTGAATAAAATCATTAATTTATCAACTTACAGAGCAATTTAGTCGAGGCGTGAAAGTCGCAAATCTTTTGCCAAATATTTCTTTTTACCCGGTCTATTATGAATCAACCTGTATCTTTCGACTTAAAGTTTGTCCTCTTTCCCTATGGGTCTGTGTGGTGTTCGTTTGTACTTGATTTTCAATTCATTTCGAATTCTGAATACAATACGATCGTTCATGCTCACCTGGCTCTATGTAGCATAAATTACACTGTTTAGGGAATTCCTAGTCGTTACAACAATTTGAATACTTCTAATTATCATAGTGTATGGCCACCAAAGTGTCACTAAGCCCTAGCCAAATCATCCGGCAGTTAGGTCATTGAATATCGAGCAAACCATCGGTCCTCGTCAAGGTCAAGGACAACCGATGCGCATCAGTTAATCGTATGTCACGGACTGGTCGGCACAGTATGCTTGTTAGTTTACGGGTTTTCGCGCACGTGTAACGTATTGTCGTGGATTTTATGTGTCGTTATTTATCAGCTATTAACAGCCTTTTTTCCGTCATACATGACTTTTCGTAATCTTTGTGATTGGAAGATAGTTTTTGTTTCAATTTATAAGCAGTTTGACGTATTTCGTGCTCACCACCTAAGTAAATATGTAGCTGGCGTAATATGGTTTTTTTTTAACAATACTAAGTCAAAGAAGTCAAATCACCATTTTTCTAGTCAAAAATAGATTACAGATTGAGTTTTCATGAAAATAAGCCGTAAAAAGAATTATATATGGTTCACCTCCTTGATTATGGTGACGGCAAACACAGATGTTGGTAGTCGTTTATAAAATGTAATTAGAAAGAAGTAAGCGTTAAAGTAACTATGAATATTATATAAATTGTTTGTATTTAGCCATAAAAGGTTATTTGGACTATAGGTAGCATTGTTTTGTACTGAAGTGACATATTACTGTGTAAGGTATCAGAGAAAAATTATGTGAGTAACAATAGACGTTGATAGTCTTTTTTACCGGTTTTCTGAACTTATACAGAAATAGTGTGTAACACCACATTAAATATGCACGAAATCTTCATAAGTAAATAGATGTGTGTCTCTTCTGAGCATGGTGACTAAACCATGTCTTACTTAATACTGACTTATGATGTGTCTGTTAGAGGGTTGACGAATAATTCTCTGTAAAGGAAATGCACAATCGCAGAAGAAAATGTGAACAAAGTTATGATGCATATTGTCGAGTAATATCTAAATGGTGCTTACCAATTTCTCCTGCTAATACCAGATATATAGACGAAATACTACAAGGGTTAGACACTGAAGAAATTTCCATTGCTTGTTAAGACACAAACTTAAATCAAAAAACAACTATTAATGAGTTATTTCATGCATTACAGACTGACTCGTCCAAAGTAATTCATGCAGACAACGTGACGAAAAGTGAATGAGCAATGGAAGCAGAATCACAAGTTCCTTGTATTCATATCGCCTTTATGCCACATTATTGAATTACATTTTATTCATAAATCCGACCACGCTTCTATGTTGTGACGAACCTGATTTCAGCAATTTTTAAATAACACTGATTTGTGTGTTGTAAAGATTACCTATTAATTTTTATTATAGGAAATAGAAATCTCTAATGATTAGCGCTGTCTGCAAATAAGAGACTTATAAGTACATTCTGTAACCTGCTATTTGATTGACTTATTAAATGTGATATTGATAACTAGGTCTAATTCTTTATTTCACGACTGATTTGTTTGTTTTTCAGAATTGTATGAATCAAATGAAGTCGTCAAAGCTTTGTGATGATGTTTACGCCGGTCTACAACTTATAGAATTTGTGATTATGGAAGACCATATTAAAATCATTTTTATTCAACAAATGAATTAGTGAAATATAAATATAGCAACTACACTTAGTGTCTTACGTTATAAACCATGTCAGTATTTATTAATAGTCGATATGACGCTAGAACAAATATAGATAGAGAATAATATGAACTCCTTATAATCCATGGAATGAACAAGTAATAAGAATGATTATGTAATAATTCATTTCACTTTTAAAATTTAGTTACGCATTTTTCCCATCACCCTGTCACTTAATCCTCTGCAATTACGTGACCTCTGCAAATTGTAATCAATTATGACGTAACTCAAGTTTTCAGTTCTTAAATCCACGGATCATTTACAAGCTATAAGATTTTCACACCACTTATCTGTCTGTGAACTACAGTCAACTATTATATCACCCATTCTTAATGTGTTATTGACTGTAAAAGCAAATGACCTTTGACCTTACACTGCATATATATATATATATATATATATATATTCACTATTGATAACCTGCGTCATTTCATTTATTCATATTCAGGTATGTCAACTGTTTCCCACATCACTGTTAAATCCTATTGCATATTTAGTTGTAATGAATGCATACCACTGTTAATCAACATTTCTCCTGGTTTTATTTTGATTCATAAGCGGAATTAATCACATGAACTTAAAATGTACATAGGTACTGATACGATTTTAATGATAAACGTAATCCCACGAAGGTGAATATGATATGTGGGTGCCTAATCTGCAAAACTGTACGTCGATGTAGGGTTTCTTAATCAATCTTAATTATTACAAACAGTTACACATGAACATCATTGCTATTCATTCCCATAAAAGTAGTAATAAGATGAAAATTGAAATTATGAAAGTTTATTGAAGAATCATTGCTGCTAAAGCAGAAAATCAAGTTTACAAGTTGGTATTAAGAATTCTTAAGTAATAATTGTCAACTTTCTTCTCAACTTCTGTTGCGAAGCGTTCACCATACTTCTCAATGATGCGATGTTTATGGATTCTTTGGCTGCGTTGAATACTTACATACTCTTCACTCCGTCGTGGTAATGCAGTTAATGTATAATTTTAGAAGTTCTGGGTATTGTGTAACTTCCATCTGCTACAATACCTAAGAAGTTGATGAGCTGTGCAGTTAGTATTTCATTATTGATATAGCTTACCTGTAAGATTTCTTCTTTTAACGTAGGCAAGTAGCATGTGACGGCAGGGATATCGACACATCATAAACATGCTACAATTGCATTGACAAATGCTTATATCGACTTCATAATGTTGTCCACGGTCAACCATGAACAACCAGTCGCCGCTTTCATATTCTACGTAGACAAAACGCATTTGTTTAAGCTCGTATAACACTTTAGATCTTGCGAATGGCGTCAAAATATTTAGCAAGGGTATTAAACGTTGTGGAGCATTATATTTATAATATCTTCCGGCTATCAATTGATCTTCGACACTTCTTCTAGTTGACATCATTTCACTCCATTTTAAAGCCTTGTACATACATTTGTACAGACTGTCACTTTTTCGTACATATCGTTTTACTTGCCGATTTAGCGATTCAACACGATTATTTGTGCTGTTACCCAATGTTAAAACATCACCGTAAAAGGCACGGGCCCACATTGTCTTACGTGCCATCCAATAACGTGACAGGTACTGACCTATCGATCTGTCCCGCCGATTGATTATTCTGTAATATTGATTAAATCTAGCGAATAAACACATTACAAAAATTACCTTCCAACCGTCTCTGCAGTTACCAATCTAGTTAAGTACGTTTTCAATATTTTGTCGTTTGTCTAAGGGCAATTTTATATAAGTAACTATTGGTGTACCTTTTTACGGAAAGCGCGAATTACATGAAAGGCGCACAAAATTATGCTTGCATGTCCGTGTGTTATACGGACAGCCGCGCTTTCACATCGTGCGCAATCCATCACAAATGTTTCAGTCAACATTGTGTCACCCATTACCTCTTTGAATTGATCTAAAATCCATATCACATCGGAACGCTTTTCCCTCCTAGTCCACGCAAACATTACAGTTCGACCTCGACCGAAATTATCCGTCACCACTATCTGGAATAAGGAATATCTACATAGTAAAACACAACGATAAACATATTCACTTTTTATTATTAGTATTATACGTAGAATCAATGCACACGACTTCTGGATATTTCCTATAGAGTTGTATTTGGTTATAACTACTGAAACATATTCTCGTCGCATATCCATTTTCTAAATGCTCCCTCACTTCTCCTTTTTGTCTAAGCATATCCATTACTTGCTTCCGAGTACAACAACCTGAAATATATTTATATACACTTACCAGTGGAGAGTGTAGCTTTCATAGCTTTGACATCGGCAGCAGTTACTTGCTTACCAGTTCTCTCCTTAATACTTTCGATAACTTCGTCTGCTGACTCACAGTGAAGTATTACGGGCTTCAAGTTCTCTTTTTCTTCCGACAATAATCTCCTTGTCCATGGATCACATACCATCCATGAACTACTACATGGATGATTGTGTATCATCTTGTAGGATTTGATGACATATCCTTGCTCTTCTAGTCTTACACGGAATTTAGATTGACAATTACGGAATTTAGACCTTAAACATAAGATATTAGTTAAAGATCTTACGATTTTTGCCTCACTTTCAAACCTTCCGATTTCCGTTTGTGACCAAACGTACAATTAAACGATACAAACAGGTATCTGAACCTGACATCCTTCAACAATCTGCTTTCTGTGTGGATGTAACGAGTATAAGTAGTCTGAGAAGCGATAAAATTATAGTTCCATACTTTTTGGAACTCTTTTAAGGCACTTTCAAAATCATCCCACAACACGAAACGCTTGTTCAGTATCATACTTCGAAAGGCATCGGTTAGGTCGACTGAAATGTCACTTGAGGATGAAGCACTAAAAACAGACATGACTAATTATTAAACAGTTATTCCTTGCAACAATAATAACCCAAGGAAATACTACAAATACTTGAGATTTACCTGTGACTTGACATTTCGTTTAGCTTTACTACAATTGCTGGGATCAAAGATCAAATTACAAAGCAACAACAGAGCCAAAGTGCACACTACAAAACAGAGAACGCTAAATTAATGGTTTTGCTATTTATTTCGTGCTTTTTATGTAGCATAGGATGACTTATATATGAAAAAAATTGATACTCATGCAAACCAACCAACCCACGGCAATTGAAATACGGAATGACCGCCTCTAATCAAGCCGTTCAAGGTCGCTGAAACGAAAGGGCGGGCACATTTCAAAAGGACCTAACGTTTAAACCGTGCCGACTGGTCCATGCGCCAGTGGTCTTTCTTTCGCTTGTATCTACGTCAACTGATATATTTATCTAATAACGTCCTCTGTGTTGCAAAGTCTTCAAAGCATCTATGGCACCTTGATACGTCAATGGGGTAGTTCACGTGAGGTGCTGACCACGAGGTGTGACTTCGACGTTAGCTAGTTTGTTACACCATTCACGTCTAACTCGAGTAGGCCTCCAATCATTTCGACATAGATTATCTGCGTTGGTGATCTACAACAGCTTTCTCGATGAAATACTCTAGGAATACTTTAGTTAACAATTTTGCATTGTCGAACCTCAACCTGCTGCTATTTAGCTAATTCATAGATGAGAACGTCAAGGTCGTGGCAAATTATTTGGTTTTCTTCGCTCAGTTTGTACTCTTTGATAACAAAATGAATGGACGTTGGTCGAAAGTCTTATGTATTGCTGGAACAAAGTCTGTTTTAAGAAACCCTTCGTTTCTCGTACATCGATACAACTTTTCATGATTCGTTATAAAGCTGCCACAAGTATTCGGAGTTTGATAATATATTAATGTGTAACACCTTTTAAAATCCAAATGTGCTGGCCTAGTTAAATCAGAAGGCAGAAGCGAAGAGGTTCGAAGATATATTTGATATATCGAGAAGTGATCAATTTAAGCTGGCTAGCCCAAGGTTTTGAATGGATTGCACATGAACTACACAGTTTACTGCTCCTTGGTTACTTCAAAGTAAATACTTATACTGCTGTCAAAAATGTGGTGGAAATTTAATACTTAGGTGTCATGTATATCTTTTCTTGCAGAACTACTACAACCAAAGTTTTTGATGCACGGAATCACTTTTAGATATGATAGAGATTAAGGCGTGGAAACAACAGCATGGTAGGGTTTAAAGTGCATGGTTAGTATCACTGATATCTATCCATAACTTGTGCAAACAACTTACTTCTTAATACAAAGGGTTTATTGAATGTTGCATTTCAAAGTTTGCACCCCAAGGTGACTTTAATTAAACGACCGTTGAAAATCAAGATGCACTGAACAGCTGTTTCGTTTTAGCATAGGATTCTTAAACATTGTTGATGAGCCAGCAGTTCATTGAATGATTTGGGGACTTTCACTGCAGGCTACTGATATTACATCGAATGAAACTCAGGTGACTGCAGTTAAGGCAAGACTAGTTAATCAAACCCTTACAGGGCACAGTTACCCTGTTTTCACCTCTATAGGCTTTTGCCGTATCACCTGCCATGTCTGAGATATCATCCATATCGTTAAGTCTGGATTGTACCCTATGGCATTTATTAAGGTTATATTTACATCAGTATCCTTTGAGGATGATACAGGTATTCAGTGTTTGACAACGCTTCTACCAGTAACACCTTCTAATATACTTTGTTCTCACCGAGAGAAATCAAAAGACAGAGTCGAGGAGATCGGAAGAGTGTATTTGGTGATAACCAATATATCGGGAATCTCTGGTCTAATCTGGCTAGTGATTGCGGTTGATGTTGAGCACAGCGTTACCACATGTGATCTGGTGCGGATGCATGACCGAGCGCCTTCAGCTAGATGAGTACACTAAAACACATGGTCAGCATCCAATGTCGAAAACTTACAGAGCTATTTATTTTGGTGATTTATTTACCGCTACAGATCACCCCCCCTAGTGGGACAGTGATGACCCTAAGACGTGGCCAGCCAGAAGTTTAAACCCAAGGAGTCTGTCGTTGGTAAACAATCTTCTGATAGCTTACTAAGTTTAGAAGCGTCTGGTCGTCTTTCCTCACTATATGGGACCGAGGCACAACATAGTAAAAAAAGAAAAAGGTACAGTGAAAATTTCAGATCCTCGTAAACTGCATCGTTCTTTTCCAGCCGTCCTGGAAAAGAAAAAAGAAAATGTAATTGCATGTCGAAATACACTCGTATGTACGTAAAAACGCAATGTCGGCGAAAAAAGGGAAAAAAACTCAAGCACACATAATAGCGTTAAAAAAAGTTTGTTTTTTGTTTGGTTTTTTTTAAATATAAATATTGAAGCATATTAAAATTGTTTTTTTTTAAAAATTATTATATATCGTAAAAAGCAAGATCGAGATAATATAAAACGTCGAGTAGTGCTTTACGTGCAATAGTCGTTTAAATGTTCTGGAAATCTTACTCTTCTTCCAGAACGTGTCGTTTTAAGTTTATTTTCAAACACATTCGGAGTGTCATCGCTAGTGTTGGTTGAGGAATTATGAGTGAAGGAGTCGTGTTGTGCTATTGTACCGAAGAGAAATCGACGTGAATAGGATTTCCTTCTAAATACGCTGCTTTTAAGCGATCGATGCTGATGCTATCGTTTGTTCCGTTCTTATCGACTATATAGTACTTAGATTCGCGTTGAAGAACTTTGAAAGGTCCTTCGTATGCTGATTTGAATGGTCGTCGATATGCGTCTCGACGAACGAAAACGTGTGTACTATATTGTAAGTCAGGTTGAACGAAAACATCGGTGGATTGTGGTCGTGTGTAAGCAGGTTTAACTGAACGCATTGCGTTTGTAAGCCTGTTCGTGTAGGAGGTTATATCCATGTTCATTGAAGAGGATGTAGGATCCACGAATTCTCCTGGAAGTCGTTCCATAAACGAGTTGAGCTGCAGTGTATACAATGTCAGCTTTCACTGCATTGGGGATACCTAGTAAGACGAGTGGAAGAGCGTCGGTCCACTATCAAACGTTTGCAGTTGATAGTAAAGCATTTAGTTGTCGGTAAAAACGTTCTACCAACCCGTTTGCTTGCGGATGGTAGGCGGTCGTTCGGAAGCGTGTGCTTCCTAATAGTGTGGTCCTACGAAATCCAGATGAACATGGTCGAAACGAGAGTCGGGAGTTTTAAATGAGACTAAGGGACATTTATTGTGTCTGATGACCTTAGATTTTTGGCAGCTTACACAGGAGCGTGCCCACTCTCTCACGTCTTTATTCATACCAGGCCAGCAAAACCGTTTTGCTATAAGCTTGATGGTCTCATGGACACCTGGATGAGAAATTTTGTGCAACGTATCAAAGACATTGAGTCGACAATCTATCGGAACGGTTGGGCGATCCCTACCTGTAGATGTGTCACAAAGTAAGGTTTCATTACCTGTTACTATCTGTTTAATGCACAGCTTAAGTGTTGTTGACGCTGACTCGTGCTGAAGATCAGTGTCTTCCTTTTGAATCTGAGCAAGTTTAAGATAGTTGGTTTTTTGGACACTGTTCAAGGAAGTCATACGAGACAGAGCGCCTGCTGCTACATTGTTTGCTCAAGAAATGTTTTGTGTATCTGAAGTTAACCGTGAAATGTAAACTAGTTGTTAAGACTCTCGATGGGAGTGCTTGTCTGAATACGAACTTAAAGAGAAGGTAAGAGGTTTATGTTCGGCAAAAAGTAAATTCTGAGCCTTCTACTGAATGTTGAAAGTGCTGTAAAGCACAATACATAGCTAGGACTTCCCTACCGAAAGTGCTATACCGCGATTCAGGTCAAGCAAACGTCCCGATGAACATGCATTGTTGCTTTAGCAATAAGTTCCTTAACTGTGAAAAATGCTTTTCGTGCGGTGTCGTTCGCATTGATGGGTTTCGCATTTCCACAAAGTTGGTTGATGAGCGGTATCATAAATGACGCGCATTTCGGTATGAAACCTCCTTAGAAACTTACAAGGCCGTTAAACGTGAGTAATTGTTTGATGGTAGTCGGTTCTGGGTAATCCAGAATGGCCGCCACTTTGGTTCTAAGGGGCCGGGTGCCTCGCGCATCGATAGTGTGTCCTAGGAAGTCTAATGAGTCAGTTCCGATTTGGCATTTTTGAATGTCTACGGTAATGCCATGTTTTCGTAGTCGGTTGAAAACAAGATCCAATTGCTGGAGATGCGATTCTCTGTCCGAACTTGCTATTAGGCAGTTATCAGCACACGTATGTACGAAGTTGAGACCTCGAAAGACATCGTCTATGAACCATTGGAATGTTTGAGCAGCGTTTTTTAGACTGAAAGGCATTCGGGAAAATTCATTGAGTCCGAAGGGAGTTATGATAGCTGTTTTCGGTATGTCGTCAGTAGCCATAGGGATTTGGTTAAACGCTTTAACCAAGTCGATTTTCGAAAAGACAGTTGAATATTTCAAGGTAGCTGTCAAATCGTGAATGTGAGGCAACAGGTAACGATCGGGAATGGTTTACGCATTCAATCGCCGATAGTCACCAGTTGGACGCCAATCGTTGCTATCATTTTTAGGGACCATGTGCAACGGAGATGCATATGGGATGTTTGACGGCCGTATGATTCCTAAGTCTATCATGTGATCGAACTCCTTTTTCGCCAACCTTAGCTTTTCAGGGGCTAGTCGTCGTGCTTTAGAGAATACAGGTGGTCCTGTAGTCGTGATGTGGTGTGTAACGTTGCTGGTTACACACGGTAAGTTCAGTTGCGCTTGATGAATCCCAGGATACTTATCGAGTAGTGGTTGATAGAGTGGGTCTATCGTATGCTTAATTGTGACTGGGGATAATCTGCAACCAGATAAGGAGTTACGCAAACGTATAAATTAGTGTTCCCGTCTACTAGCCTCCGTTTGCGCGTGTCGATGATTATATTATGGTGTTGTAGGAGGTCCATACCAATGATTGGCATAGAAACATCTGCAACAACGAAAATCCAGTGAATAAGTTTGCGTAAACCCACGTTAAGGTAAACGTACCTTTTGCCATACGTAGCGATCGGTTTTCCATTTGCCGCCTGTAAGTCTAGA